TTTTAAAATAAAAAAGATCATGAATCAACAATGAGAAGCTTAACAAATCCTAAGATTCTAATAATTAATAAAGTCACTCTTAATATTAAATAACAAAGATATTTAAAGGAATCAAGCTGAAGGATAAACAGTAATAAGAAAAAAATTTAGACAATATTTATCTTCAGTTAAAATCAAAAAAATATTCATATTCCACTTCTGCCAAAACGATAAAAAATAGATTTATTCTATTCAAATAAATAAATATTAATTAAGAATTAGGTAAACCTAATCATTAATAAATTAACATTAACAGTCTCAATTATCGATTTAATCGACTCTAAATATACTCTTTGCCTTTTAGTATCGGTCCTTAATTATTACCAACTAAATTGCAATAATCAATATATGCTTATATATGTTGAGCAGCAGCCTAATTATTAAATACAATTCTTTCTGCCATATTATAATTAATTGATAATTAAATATTAATGATATTTCTTTTTTAGATTTATCGACACTATAAGAAATTTTAAATTATAGTTTATATGCATTTATGTATTCTTCATAAATTATGTTTAAACCAAAGTATAGTTCATTGTTTAATTTAAAATTATTGAGGAAAGAATAGCATCGTTTCTTACGATTCTTAACTGTAAAATGTGAAAAATAATTTCCTATAATTTTCGAATCATCATAATTTTTTAAAAGAACTATTCTCATGCTAAGTAAAAAAAGGATGGGGTGGGTACTTAAAAAAGAAGAAATAAAAGTGAATAAGTTTAAAGTTTAGCAACACAAAAGAAAAAAATCCCTACATTTAAGAACTTCAAAATGCCTATAATAAGATCTAAAAAAAGAAGGTTAATTTGGAAAGAACTAACTCATAAAAACCTTATTCTTTAATCATACAGCATTATCAAGAAGTATTATTAAATTATTTTGAAGAAAATGATTAATATATAATTATTGAATGACTTCATCATTTATTTCTAAGTGCTATTTCAAAAATAGCATCTAATTAAACCAGAAAATTATTTTGTATTGATGAAGCTATTGATTATTCAATAAGATTACTTTATTGCTTATTCACCAAACTATTTTTCAGTTAAACACATATTTTTTTAAATCCTAAAATTTTGCAAACTAATAGGCAAATGTTTCATTCTAATCTTGTCTTTTTTGAGTATACATTTTAACATCCTCTCTTTTCATATCTAAAAAGTCATTATCCACTTTTATCTTTTCTAATTAATAACTAAACAATCAAATTACATAAATTTGTATTTCTAGAGACTAAATTGTCATCAATTTATTATTCGAAAATTAAGTGTACTTTTTCTAATTAAGCCTTTCTTTTCTCATACAAGGATCATGAAATAAGTCTTCAATATATTGATAGACTCCTATATCACTTTTAGAATTTTCTGCCTTATCTGTTTCATATTTTCAAAAGTTGCTCTCTATTAAAGCGGTTACCTAAAGATAATTTTCATACCTCTTATTCAAGCATTGTGAAAGTTCTTAAGAATCTCTTTAAGCTGGGTCCTAAGTACATTCAACAATAATTACTCTCAAATTAATATCCTATTCTCTTGAAATGAACTTTTATATAATGGCCAATGCTCTTTCTAAAATATTCAATGCTGTCTAATGATCAGTCACTACAAAATTCTAAGATTCCACGTACTCTTTCCTCATATTATTTGCTGTTAGTTTAAAGCATCAAATCTTCCCTTTGAATGACCACCCTATTTTAACTCATGAAGTCTTGTAAGGATGATTACTTGTTATTAAATTAGACCTATTTCATGTATGATAACAGATACAAGTTAATTTTTTTAAGTACATTTTCCACAAGGTTAATGCTGTTACTAATCTCTATTTAAACATTTCCGAGCAAAACCTCTAAATCATAAATTATTTTTTATGTTATGCTGATCTTTAAAATAAATCTTAGGATACTTTTTCTTACATTTTTTTCAAATCCTCACTCTAATTTGAAGCAGCAAAATCTAAATCAATTAAAAATTGAATTGGTTATATAACCTAAAGGTCTTTCTAGCAGTTGATAATTATGTGAATGTTAATACAAATTTAGACAGTTTTCCATTTTTTAATTCATCTACTTTCTGACATCTAATTTTGTTTAAACAGACAATCCTAATGACAAAATAATTAGAACTGTTAATTTTGTTAAAATTATCTAGAAGGTAAAAGTGATTATACCTTATCTCAGCGATTAAAAAATGTTTACTTTTTATAGATATTGAAAAATAGTTTTGAAAGTTGCCCCTTTGTGTGTATTTAAGGATTCAATTAGAGCTTAAATTAATCAGTAATTAAGATTATTAGATCGTTGTTAGGGAAGATAAATTATTTCCTTAAATCTTAATCATTTCAATAATATCCTTCTTCTTGATGATTAATATATCTTTTCAGTCTTTATAATATCTAATAATTTTGATATCAATTAACAAATAATGATAAATAGTTATCGATACTTTACTTTGAAAAGAGTACTTTGGAAAAATCATTCAATCTCTTTGTTTAAACTTTTTAAGTTTGAATAAATGATAGAATTTAAGTTATTTTTTTAATTCTTGACATATCTTTTTTATTATCTTTGTTATTAAATATATCTTTTACTATTTATAATCTTATAAATAAGAATAAATTTAGTAAATCTATCATATAATATCCTAGATTATTTAAAAAGAATGGATTTGTGTTAATTTACTTAAAATAGCTTCTTTAATGTGCTCAGTTTGTCCTTTAAAATATCTATAGAGTATTTATTTAATGTAGCATTATTTAAATTTAAATCTCTAGAAATATTAATTGATAACAGTTTTTTGAACATTTCCATAAATAATCCCTACACTAAGCTGACCATATATTTTAATAATATTTATATAAATAAAGTATATATTTAATAAAAATAGAATAATAACTTAAATATGTACAGATTTATCTTAAGAAATGAAGATCAAGAGTTGATCTTAAAAAGACATAATTAAAAATATTAGATATTGATTGTAAATATAATTGTATTGCTGTAGATAAATTATCAAATTTACTATTACTAAAATCGTTCTATAATGCGACTTCCTTTCTGTTCAAATAATGTCTTTAAATCAATACCTGATTGATTAAAAAATTCTCCTTTCAGTATTAAAGCTCCTTTAGATTAGAATATTGCCTTTTGGGAAATAAGAAGTGTGGTAATGTAATTGGAAACTAAAAATATGAAAAACTTAAAAACTACCTTCTAAAATATGACTATTGTATTGGAGTGGAATCTTAAATTATATAAAAATATCTTTGTAATTTTTATCGGAGGATTGAATTTCTTATCCTGTTTTAATATCCCAAAGTCGGATAGATTTATCATCATTATCAGATGCTAATGTATTTCCATCAGGAGAAAAACAGACTGACATAACATAATGAGTATGACCATCTAATTTGGCTTTTTAT